TAATGACCCATGTGCAGCTGAGAAAAATGTGTATTCAGCTGTGTTTGGGTGGAACACTCTGTATATGTCCACCAAGTCCATTTGTTTCAAGCTCTTGTTCAGTTCTGTTATTTCTTTGCTAAGTTTTTGTCTGGTTGACCTATCTTTTGGAGATAAAGGGGTGTTAAAATTGTAGTCTTGAATCTCTATATATTGTCTTGCACTAGCAATATGAGAGAAGTGATTGAAATTTCATTTGACTTTCAGATAACGAAGAGCTAAATCATGGGAATGTTATTTAATTAGTGTTGGCACATTACCTCAATATATAAGGGTAAGAGAATTACATTTACTAAGGACTTTGTTATGGACCAGGCACTGTGCTAAATGCTGCTTTATTTATTTCTTTCTATTTACACATCCATAAGACAGGTACTAATCCTAATGCTTATTCTATATAAGGAAACTGAGGCTTAGGGGGTGACTGGTTTGTCCAGAGTCACACAACTAGTGTAGTTTGAGCCTGAAACTCTGGATTTGAAGTTCTTATTTCTTCTGGCCTCTTTGGTCAATAGCATACCTCTGAAATCTGATAATAAAAAGAAGATGATAACAAAGGGATTTTTTTTTAAGATTGAAAAGACAAAGCAAATACACCCTTTAGATTTTTTTTTTTTTTTTTTTTTTTTTGTGGAACTGGGGCTTGAACTCAGGCCCTTGCACTGAAGGGAAGTACTTATTCTACTGAGTGCCAGGGAAGCACTTATTCTACTGAGCCATCTCTCCAGCCCAAATATACCCTTTACATCCCCTCTTTCTTTTCTGCTCCTCAAGGCAGTGCTAGTTAAGGAAAATGGACTTTGCATGCCCGTCTCAGCACAGACATTGTTTTTCTGAGTCAATACCACATGAAGCCAAACATACAATCCGAAGGAGACTCCTGGACCACCGCGCTACCTGCTGCTACAAATCACACCTCCTAGAGAAAGCTGGGGAAAACCTCTGAGGAACAGTGTCAGCCTATGCTGCACCCCGGAATGCAGTGGGCTGGTTCCTGGGTCTGTCCTCACCTGAGAGGCGGCAGAAAGATGATTGGATGAGGAGCCAGGCATGAATGGAACCAGGAAAACAAAGACACCACAAATAAACTTGCAAACCATAAAAAGAGAAAGGCCAGTTTGGACAGGAGGAGAGAAAGACTCAGAACAACAGCAAAAGATGTGAAGCAGGTCCCCACTGGACATACTCCTCTGAATTCTCCTCAGGTTAGAATGCATCAGCCTGCAGGACGGTAGCACCAACCATTTTTCACAGTCTGGCTAAACATAGTTTTGCAGCTAGGCTCCTTGCTTTTGGAAAAATGGTGTCTATGGAAGGAATTTCGTTTTTCACTCTGAGTGCAGGGAATGTTAGACTCGTTCCCAGGAAGCGGTCTTCTACCTTGTACTCAGAGCTTGTATGTAACAACTGTGAAACACATTTTATAGAAGACTCAACTCTGTCCCTCCTAATATATTTATCCCTGTTTTCACAGACTACCTGAACTCACCAACTACATGTGTGTATTCTCAGCTTGAGTGTATGCCGTGTACTCAGGACAGGAGCTTGGGGCATCTTAGGTTCCAATTCTAGTTCTGTCACTAACCAGTAGCTTTGGCATTTGGCAGCTGTAAAAACACTAGAAAAGATCACTGGGTCATCAGTAGAAGTGAGGGTTGTTTTGTTTGTCTAGCTGTTTTTTTTTCTGTAGGCTCAGCCAAGTGGAAATCTCTAATTTTCCTTCTTTTTTATTTATTTGTGTTTTCATTTTGAGACAGGGTTTCACTCTGCAGTTTAAGCTGGCCTGGCCTTAAACTCACTTTGTAGCCCAAGCTGGCCTCAAACTCACAGTGGTCCTCCTGCCTCAGCCTCCCTAGTGCTGTGATTATAGGTGTGCACCACCACACCCAGCAAGTCCTGCTTCTTGTACAGATTCTTACAGGATATGTTTGTTTAACAGTAAGGAAATAGTCTCCTAGATGTCAAAACATCAAAAAATATAAAGAGACCTTCTAACCTCCCCAAAGTCTTGTGAACTACCAAATAATAGGACAGCCCTCATCCTCACTCCCAAGTAAGGATAAATATGAGAATTACTGAGCCCCTCAAAACTGAAAGGAAGTGTCACCATCAACTTGTGACACCCTGTCCTGCCAAAGAGGAGAGCACTGGCACATAGGGGCTTCCTACAACTCCATTAGGCTGTCTCCCTGGAGTCATACCTGAGATCTATTTCTCATTGACAGCAGGATTAGGACTAACATCTGAATATTCTACCACAGCCCTCAGCCTCCTCCTTGTGGTTAAATGGTTTTCTTTCTTTCTTTCTTTTTTTTCTTTTTTTTTTTTTTGTTGCAGAACTGGGGATTGAACTCAGGCCCTTGCACTTGCCAGGGAAGCGCTTATTCCACTGAGGCATTTCCCCAGCCCCCCTTGTGGTTAAATGAATATGCACTGTGTGTGATATGTTACACTCATTTTCTTAAAATTGTATATCACATGCGCCTTTCAACTGAAGCATATATTTTGTTCACATGATATGCTAATACGATACGTATAGCATGCATGTGTGTACGTACATGTGCATGTGTGTGTGTGTGTGTGTGTGTGTGTGTGTGTGTGTGTGTTTACTCTCAGCCCAGCATACTTACCTGTCAGCCAAACAGTGCATCCTCGGAACCCCCCTCTTGTTCCAACCACTTGACCTCTCTTACTCCTGCTTACGTGGTGGGCCTGATAGATTACGTTGGTGGATTTCTGTTGATTTTCCTACAAAACAAGACCAAGAGTGATATTTGGTTAATAAACTACACATTCTTGGGCCAGTCAAATAGTTTAGCAGATTAAAGCGCCTTCAAGCAGGCACAGGGGTCAGGGGTTCGTATCCCTGGGCCTGCTGTGCTGGCCCCACCCCCGGGGGCAAACTGAGACAGGAACTGAGACTGGGCGTGGAGGTGCATGTCTGTAATCCCAGCTCTCAGAGGCTGTAAACAGGCGGGTCACTACGAGTCTGATCTAGTAGTGAGATCCTGAACACCCTGTAGACCCTTCCCTAAAATACAGAAAAGAAAAAAACCAAAACCACCACCACCACCACCAACAAAACCCCCTACACATTCTTTACTGGGTTGAGATAAATCCACCTTAATTCTTTAATTGAAAAGCTGGTATGTAATATCAGTGAAACACATTTAAAAAAGACTCAACTTTGTCCCTACTAATATATATTTTTATTCATTTCTGCAGATTACCCTGGGTCTTTAGCTACATACATATGTTTGTAATTTGGGGGTATTTCAGGGACTTTCTTTATTCTCTTCCTTTATCTTACTGTGAGTTGTACGAATGTCTATTTTCCATGAAATATTTATTTTTCAAGTATTGTATAATATTTCATTGGTTCATTCAATACAAACTTCTTCATAACTAAAATTATAAATGCAATCACAGCTTATATTCATAGTTTCCCACAACTATATCTCCTCTTTTATAGTTGGCAAGCAGAATCATAGTTAATTCTGCCACCTCACAAACAAGCACTGCCTTATTCGGATGCCTGCAATGCTCCTCTGAAATTCTGATTATCGCGGATTATTCTGATGCTACGTGGGAGTTCTGACTGCGTGACGCTTTCAGCCATGTACCTTAGGTGCTGCTCGGAGGAATGCTTTTGTTTCTGTAAATGCATGTTCTCCCCAAGTTTTCAGGGCCTGTACCTAAGACAACACGAATCCTAGGGAGTGCTGGTTGAGCCCATCTCTACGGAGCTGGGAGAAGCCCGGTTCTAGGGTTAAGGGTTACTGTTAAACACCCCAAGAGCGGTGCCAGGGAAGGGTTTGGTCCTGAGCACAGAGCACTACTTCCTCACAAGAAGTACACTTTGCTGCCACTTTCTCTGGCAGTGTGTGGCCTGATTGTTCAAACAGAATCATTCATCAGAAATAAAAGACGATCAGTTTGGAGGCGTGGAGTCTAATTCAAATATCAAATGTCTGTAGTATTTGGTTGTAATAAAATTAGCCTTGTGAAGTAACAATTGGATCCTTTGTCTAAACTCTGTAAGGTAATATGCCTGATAGGGGAAAAAAAAAGATAAAATAAGGCAAATACAGTTTTTGATGGGCTTGTAACAGATGTGTGATTCGAGGCAAAAAAAATCTCATAATCAGGTTAAGTAAACAGATTGGGAACTACCATATATCTCTACAATGTGGTAGTTGAATTTCTAACAATAAATGGAACTCAGATTTCTGAACTGTAAAAATCTACAGGCCTCTTAAGCAATACCCATGTATACACATGGCCAGAGTTAAGAAATCATCATTTTTTAAGGGTTCATCTAATATATTTTATATAGTCCTGCATAACTATCATATTGAGAACTCTTTATTGTTCATCCAGGAGCATACAGTAACTTACTTCTCTTGCCTTTTGAATTATGCTCTTTGTTATTTCCTATATGCTACTTCAGGGGGTATTAAAATATTTCAAGTTTGTAACTAGAAAATCTTACTTTTAGTTTTCAAAGGTATGTTTGCTAAGTATAAAATTCAAAGAGGACAGATCTTTTCTTTCAGTCTTTTAATTAGTCTAGTTTCTTAAGCACTTTTTCTTTCTAATGTGGAATAAGATGCTATTTAATTTTGTTCTTCCATAGCTAATCTTTCTTCTGTATATGCTTTAATGATTTTTTTCTTTACAATAAGTTTTGGACAATTTCATTTTTGTGTATCTTGGTATGATTTTATTTAAACTTCTTGTGCAAAAGGTTCATTTTTCTTCGAAATGTGGTATTATAAATTAAGCTAAATTCAGAAATTTTAAGTCTTTAAATACTTATTGCCTATTCCTTTCTACTTTGAGAATTCTAATTATATGAATATAAGTTTCTTGGTTTTGACACAGTGAACTATTATGACTGGTCTGTAAATTCTTTATTCATTTTTATTTTGGACAATTTTTATTGTTTTATTCTTTATGTTTGTAAATAATTTATTTTCAATTTGCAATCTATTAAAAATAAAATAAAAAAATAAATTTTTTAAAAAACATAAAAAAAAGAAATCATAATTTTTGGAAAAGACTAGAAGATATTTTAAATACAACAAAACTCTGCCTATCCAAGGTCAGCTCACCTTTTGGCCACCGCCTTTGGGAAAACAAAGAGGGCTATGAGGGGGACTACGTGGAGGCTGGGATGAGATGATGGGTGTGGCTGTGCTCTGTAAATGCTGATGGCCTCAGCAGGCGTGGATGCCGGGGACCGGTACTCACTGGCTAGCCTTAACCACAGAGGCTAGAGCCAGATGGTGGGATAGGGTAAATGGCTTCAAAATGAGAGGCCAAGAGCTTTCTGGGGGCATAGGAGAACCAGAACACACCACCGGGGCAGGTCTGCTGCTGAGGTACAGCTCACCCTGGGGTAGTTAACAGGAGTGGGCATTACTGGGGCCAAGGTGAAAGTGACTGAAAACACAATGGGATGTACCTAATGCCTGCAAAAGCACACAGTATGTCAGGACCATGGGAGTCCAAGGTCTCGGAGTAGTAGAGACATAGTACAGAGTGGGGACAGGTTATGTTATGAAATCCACGAAACAGTCTACCAGGCTCATGGCTGAACCAGTCTCCAGAAGGCCTTCTGCATGCTCTGGGTCAAATGCACTGCATGGTTCAAAAATAACATTTAATTTTCCCGTTTCTCTATTTGCTTTGCCATTTTTACTTTCTTGTACCGCCAAACTCAAATATCAAGTCCAACTTCATCTGTTCTTTCATTGAACTTTGAGTATTTATTGATCTCTTACTACAAGTCAGGGCAAACTTCAAAAGCAGAAATACCTGGAATGGGCTGGGGAGATAGACAGCTTGGCAGCCTAAGTGCCTGCCTGCCAAGCACAGGACCCAGGTTCAATCCCTAGTACCGCACGCTGTACCAGCTCTGGAGCCCTGGGTACTCTGTGCGGGCCACCAAAACCAGGCGTTTTGGTGCATGCTTGTAATCTCAATGCTGGGAAGGCTGAGACAGGAGGATCACTATAAGGCTGAGCCGTGTAGGGAGACCCTGTACAAAATAAAAAAAGATTTAAAAAAAAAAGAATGTTCTTAGCAACTCCATTTGGAGGGGAAAAAAAAAAAAATCAAAACCAGACACAACTAACTATCCATAAGTAAGTTACTCCCCAAGGAGAACCCAAAGTAGAACAAAATCAAACTCTAGAAGACTCATAAAATAGATCAATGCATGGCAGTCAAAGGGAATGGACCAAAGACACATGCAGCACGGATGGCAATGAGTGGGAAAAGACCACCCCAATCCAAGGAAGCCTTGCGGAAAAGCTATGCATGTATGATCCCATCTACAGGAAACCTCCAAATAGGGAAAATGAGTCTCCCATGCCAGAACGGCAGCTGCTCAGGGCTGAGGGTGATTCCCTATGTCCTGATAAGAGTTTGAACAAACAGGCACTTTCATTTGTTGACCTTCCTGCAGGTATACTTCAGAGATGTATTTTATTATGCCACACCTTTCCCTCACACACAAAATGAGCTATCATAAAAAATAAGCAAACAAGTAAATATTAAATAAGATTTTAATAGTGTGTGGTAGTGCAGGCCTGTAAACCCAGAACCTGGGAGACTGAGACAGAAGGATTGTGAGTCCAAGGTCAGACCAGAGCACCCAGTGAAGGTGAAAACAAAAAAATACAAACTAAAGCAATTTCACATGCTGCAAGTGTCCTATTAAACACTGCTGTTTTTATGGAAAAGACTGATGTCAACCACATAGTATGTTAGGCTGGGGTTCCTCTGCTCAGTTGCGTCCTGAACCCCATCAAAGCTTAAGATGTCTACAGAGATGGCTTTCTTTCATCTTTTGGCTATATTTTATTCTTTCAGGCAGAGATCCAGAATAAACTCTAGGCTCTGTTATTCTTTTGTAAGAACATGTTGCGATTTTGTTAAGTGCCATCCAACAAGTTTTTCACTTTTAAAAATAGTCCCCAAATCCTCACGAGACATTACTCCAAGAAGTACCACAGCTGCAGCTTTGGCATACAGATTTTCTATGTCTAGAAATGCTTGAGTGTATGAAGTGCTTTCGGCCGGCCATGTACTTGGCTCTCTTGGTTTATAAAATATTTTCCTTCCTATTTAATTCACAGTCATCCTTGATATTTCACTAAAGGCAAACAAATAAAATAAAAGCAGATGTTTTGAATATTTGAACTACACAGGGGTGGGGCAGCCAAACACTTTTTGCTGAAGGTTCTCACTTACTGAAAGAGAAGATGGTGGTTTTCAATGCTTTGGAAAGTGACCGTTGGGATGAAAGATTCCCCCTATAGAAAATAGAACATCTTACAAGAAAAACTGCCTGCATCCTCGTGCGTGCAGAGGAGCCCAAAGACATCCTCAGCACTCTTCGAACTCTGCCACGGAGCAGGAAGTGGCCCAGAAGCCACGAAGTTGGTGGCACACTTCTATTTTTTTTTTTTTTTTTTCGGAGCTGGGGATTGAACTCAGGCCCTTGTGCTTGCCAGGCAAGTACTTATTCTACTGAGCTATCCCCCCAGCCAGTGGCACACTTCTATGCTGCATTCCCAAGAAAGAACTTACAGAAGTCCCTACTTTCCCCATCTCTGGCCCAGAAAACCTCCTTCCAGCATGCACTGCAGTGGCCTGCGCATGGGTTCTGGAATTATTCAAACTTAGATTTTAAGCCTATTTTGTAGCCTCCTGGATCTGTGACCCAGGGTGATTTATTA